AAAACTCTTGGTGGCTTTCATCTCTGGCATTTTGGTTGCCAGGTTGGCTCACCATAAGGAACACTTGGCTAACTTGATCTGAAGGGGAAATGAGGTTTGACTTAACACTGTTTTGTAGACAGCAAGTAATCTACACCTTTTTCTGACTTTATCTGCTCAAATCAATTTTCATCTTGAATGTCATTGTCCCAGTTGTAGCCTCTTGTTCACATCTTCTGAAGTACATGCAGTATCTCCCCGACAATAATGGACAGACATACAGATTCTAGCAAGTCAAAAATGTTCTTTTTGAAGGACACTTTCAGCTTTTAGTTGCCTGAATTTCTGAAGAAACTGGAGAAATGGCAACAGTGATCACTCTTCCATGTTTACACTTCACTGTTTCACGTAATCCATATGCCATTGTTATTGGATCTTAGCCACTGTTAATCACGATCTCTGTAGCAGCTGTTTTTCTGTGGGAATCATTTTAATACCTTTTGGGTTATTAGAGATCTGCCTTCTCTTTTGCATATACAGGAAGCTCTGCACAGCACTTAAAGTTGACAGTAGAGCTCCACTCCTTCATCATTGTCATCAATGCTGTCAGTAGAGTTGTCCATATATGTTGACTTATGGGGTGTCGCAGTAGCACCAGTATTGATTTCATCAAGCATTCTCCTGGGAAACAAACTACAACTCCATTCTTTCTGAGGACGGCAAGGCTAAACTCAAATACATCTGGCTCCTGGTCAGGGTCAAGGTCTCTCTATAACAACTTAATGAAGTTGGAAAGATCCTGCCCCTTAATCTTTATCTCAGTGTAAATCTCATTTCTGTGACAAGTGACACCAAAGGGGTTTCCAATGGAAATGTACAAGGATGTTGGAAAGATCTTGCTGTAACTGGCTATTTGTCATTCTACTGGTCCACAGAACAGATGGAAATGTTACCTACTAAAAAATAATAATAAAATATAAATACCTTTTTTGGTGAAAGAAAAGGCAAGAACTCACACTTCTCTTCAACAGCCAACTGCATCTGTATTCAATTAAAAAAAACTTCATGTAATAGCTATATTTATTTATTAGTGGCATGCAATGAATTCCATGTTATTACATTTAAAGCAGGGCTGAAGGAGACAGAGCATGAAACTCACAAGACTGGAGCTATGAAAGGATCTGTGTCAAGATAATGCACATGAACAACTTCGATTGACACTGACCGGTCCACTAGAAGGTTTTTAACTAATAGAAATTGTGAAATGCAGTACCATTTAAAACAAGTTACTCAGGATAATTCAAGATTAACAGATTGTCAAGTGCTTTTGGGCACACATAAATTTTTATAGGATTAAATTAAAGGACAATTCTCTTCAAAATCATATGAGATTTTACTGTCACGCCAGTAAAATATAGTTAATGCAGCATGACATACGTTCTCAATGAGCCGTTCATGGTGGCATCACTTTCTATAGAGCTATTGAACAGTTATATTCCAAAGGTCAGCAAAATGTAAGCTTTATTGTGGCTAAACCTAAAACATTGTAGCTTTGTTACCTTCAGAATGTTATAACGAACGATGGCATTGGTGCAAAGCATTAAAGCACCATTCATGTTTAAGATGTTACACGTGCTAGGGTAAGCTGTTTGGTAGTACAGTCTTTTCTACTGGTTTACCAGCAGATGAACATCTCCATATAAAAGCTTGGACAACTGTTCAGAGTCCATTTTGAGTTCATCTAAGCAACGTAGCTATTACTTATTGAAAATCCATCATTTAATTTTTCCCTCCCTCCCTCCCTTTGGAGACAAGGTCGGNAAAATTTCAGAATTTTTGGTCGAATGGAAAGTGCCCATATCATAGTTTATATAGTTTAGCAGAAAGCAACAGGGGTGAATATGTATGTAAACGCACACCACGTATCTAAAATCTGATGCCCTCTAGGCTTCTTATGCTCTTTTTGTATCCCAGCACTATCAACAGTGCATTTCTATTAAAAAAGCACAAACGACAAACATGTATTTTAAAGATAAAGAGGAAAGGTTTGTTGTACAACTTTTGTGAACCCGGCAATACTTTCCATTAATCTACGTAGACATGCCGTGATAGCAGGACCCGCGGCTCTGTGATTCGTAGAGTTCTGTCCTTTTGCAGAATTAAACAACACCCCCTTCCCCCCTACATCTTCCAATTTCGTCCAAAAATGTTTAGTTAGGCTGACAATGCAAACTACCTTACTGGCACGAGCAAACAGTTTGGATTCACTCACCGCCATCTTCACTCACTTGTCATGTGTTTGTCAAGCAATCCACATTTGCCGATTTTTCTGAGCAAGGACCACCAAACAAAAGTCAACTACTTACTCAACTAACACCATGACAGTTATTCGGACTGGCTAACAGAACAGTGAAGTCATGGAATTTTGAAAGGGAGCAAAGTCTGGAAACTTTGTAAGGAAGAAATCTGGAAAGAGTAGTGCGGTTGGCGAAAAAACACTTCTGGTTTTCTGTCTTGCTGCTTTATACACTTTGCAAGTGGCGGATGACTGTTGGAACATTCGAAGCAAAATGATGTCACAGTATGTGTTTTATTCAGAGGTATGTGCCATATTAGGTAATAGGAAACGAACAATTCATCTATAAATCTGGTGGTAAAAAAACAGGGGCAATTGTACCCATTATATTAGAATTGCAAGCACACGGGTAAGAAATGCAACGGTCGAATTATCTTGTCATAATATTTATGCCACAACTCTGCGACAGTTGATCATGAGGTTTTGCCAACTGCTCACGCTTTGTTATCATTACCTGGTCTCAGACCAGGATTTCAAGAAATGCTGTGATGAGATGGTTATTTTTAAAGTATAGTGTGCCTGTTTACATGAAATGGTTGTGCTCGAATATTTACATCCAACAAGTTGGATGCAACTGTAATCAATTGATTGATTACTCAAGTTTCACGTTTCAATTTTTTTTTTTCGGCTGTGGGTCTTCCGCATAAAACTGCCAATATTGAACGAATAATGGGTGCTACAGTTGTAACCTTCCAAAGAAACATACAGTAGGTGGAAGTAAAATCAGTTTTGGGCGATATGCACATGCTGGTGATAGCAATAAATTTGCATAACATTACAATGTACCAAAAGCAGTGTCTTTTTTCATTTAACTGCAAATGCTTGCCAAAGTTAATCATGTGGTCAATCTAAAAGGAAAAACAAAGCAGATTGCAAGCATCTTTATTGACGAAAAAGGCTTCCATTCACTTATTTTTGTTCTTGATGGAGGTAGCTTTCCGAGTTCCATGTTGGTTTCACGAATGACGAATTTCTCAAAATGTACCACACGTTTATTGCTCTGGACAGGGTACTTTTTTCAGGCCACAAAAGAGACTTTCACACAACATGATATGGAGTATGGGCTTTCAGAAAATTTTAGTTTCGACTTCAAATTCAATTTACCAGTGGGCTTTTGATGGTATTGAAATTAGCTGAAATTAGCCCTTTCGCTCATGAGCTTCAATCAAGGTACTTGTATTGGCCGAAAATATTATAACACTAGGAGCTTTTGCTAATCAAATTCATGCTTTAGAAACAGCAAGACATGCACTATGAGCTACCCAAAGTACATTGATAGATATCATCATGTTGATTTGTACAAGCAAAAAGAAAATGTATAATTTTCGGCCATTTTCAGCGGCGGCAGGCAGCTAAAATGGCGATTTTCGGACTATCCTCAATTTCGAAAAACCTAAAGCGCTTCAGGACCTTTCAATGGTATCTTTGAAAACAACTCACTATAGAGGTTATTTGGGCAAAATATGAAGAAATCCAAAGTTTCACGACTGCCATCTCATTCTCAGTATTTACAGGAATCGGCTCTTAAAGCTCTTACACTCCATGTTCCACAATCTAGGCTCTACGCTCTATCTTCAAGAATTTTTTACTACGCTCTACACCAGCTTAGAGACTTAAAAAACGAGTAGATAGATAAAAAATATTGGGTTACAAGTGTGAGTTTCTCGATCATCTGCAATGCTGTAATTTTTGTAATTGAAATTTATTGGCTTTCTTTATTATCTCATGTATTATTTAAGTGTTACTGAACTGTTATTACAGTTTACAGTATTTTAATAATCTTTTCAATGTACAATTCTTTATTGAGTTTACCCTCTGCGCTATAATTATATTCTACCATCTACATTCTACTCTCTATGTTCTACCAACTACTCTCTTCAATCTTCGTTCTACGATCTACCATCTACCATCAACCCTCTAAGCCAGTCTATGCTCTATGTTCTACCAGCTACTCTCAGTTGATATCAAATTTTACGTGCTTAGTACAATGCCGCTTTCAAAATGATATGCAGACGCTACTGTGACGTCATTATGAGGTCACCTGCAATACTAAACCACTGTATTGAGGTCAGACAGAGAGATCATTGCCAGAGAATGGTACAATTTCTGTTTTTTTCGTCAAATATTACAACTGAACAGAGAAAACCTTGTGTCATGGTGAGAATTGCATTGAATGAAAGCGATAGACACTCTTTGAATGCGCTAAAAGTGAAAAAGTGGCGATACACACCACCTTGACAGCTAAATATGGATCAATTTATTAACGGAATAGACCAGGTTTCATCTTTGTTTCAGAATTTTTGTGAGAAAAAACACTTGTCACTTTTTCTTTAGTCACAATTCACTCTGAACCACACAGTTTGGTGGCTATTGTAAAAATAAACTTGTTAGAACTTGGAAATAATAATGGAAATCGCCACAGTTTACACAAATAGACTCCAGACAATGGACGATAAAATAGTTGAGATACTTTTAGAAAATGATGCCTTTTGATATTTGAGCACTTACTCTATTTTATTTGCTTCTAACATTAATTCTTTGACATGCCCTGTCCCCCAATTCAATGTTGTGTATGCGCTGTAGTCTGTGCAGTCTAAGAAATAGAAAAATCAACATTGTATGGAGGGAGGGAGGGGGGAAATGTTTCCAAGACACTCGAAAATCAAATTTCACTGCAAAGTGTCTTAACACTATTGTCGCCCATTGTACATTGTAGTTCTGCACAACAGTGATGACAAACCTGTTCTGTCTTGTAAAATTCCAGTGCAAAAATTGTTCCATCTTTAACATGGACCTAAATGACCAGAAAAAAACCTCTTTAGACATATTTCTTAACACTTTTATCTAAATATTTTATTTTATCACAAGATTCTAATTTTAACTTGTCATAAAACACTAAAAATATTCAAAGCAAACTATACTGTCTAGTATATACATTGCGGTGGCGGCATACTAAATTGCTGGGAACTGAGTAGTTAACCTCTGTGGTTTTTGGGTGGTGAATGAACAGATAACAGAAAGCTCTCTGAGGCAGCAGACATGTTAAATAGTCCGAGTATTTCCAATGGTAAAGTCAAACGTGTTCAAGAACAATAACGCAGTTCTTGTAATGGCACCAATTTATGCATTGGCCTAGCTACTGTCCTGGTTCTGTGTTGAGCTTTGGTTACCTTGGTATAACCATCCGTTCCAGGGTGATTGTCTATGATTTGCATTCGGAGCTTGAGTCTTCCAGGGAGACTGAGCTCCAGTGCAAGGTAGTACATCTCCTTATGTGTCCTCCGTCACCTTAATCCACCTGGGTCTGGCATTTAGCATCAAGAGCTATTCTGTCATCCACGTTGTCTGTATTCATGAAATTAACTCCTGTGCTTTTCACTATCTCTTACAAGGATTGGAGGACTGTAGCCAGTTATGTCAACAGTTTCTTTGTAAAGAATATATGTCAGGAGATATGCAGACAGTGGCATTGTAAAAACTCTTGGTGGCTTTCATCTCTGGCATTTTGGTTGCCAGGTTGGCTCACCATAAGGAACACTTGGCTAACTTGATCTGAAGGGGAAATGAGGTTTGACTTAACACTGTTTTGTAGACAGCAAGTAATCTACACCTTTTTCTGACTTTATCTGCTCAAATCAATTTTCATCTTGAATGTCATTGTCCCAGTTGTAGCCTCTTGTTCACATCTTCTGAAGTACATGCAGTATCTCCCCGACAATAATGGACAGACATACAGATTCTAGCAAGTCAAAAATGTTCTTTTTGAAGGACACTTTCAGCTTTTAGTTGCCTGAATTTCTGAAGAAACTGGAGAAATGGCAACAGTGATCACTCTTCCATGTTTACACTTCACTGTTTCACGTAATCCATATGCCATTGTTATTGGATCTTAGCCACTGTTAATCACGATCTCTGTAGCAGCTGTTTTTCTGTGGGAATCATTTTAATACCTTTTGGGTTATTAGAGATCTGCCTTCTCTTTTGCATATACAGGAAGCTCTGCACAGCACTTAAAGTTGACAGTAGAGCTCCACTCCTTCATCATTGTCATCAATGCTGTCAGTAGAGTTGTCCATATATGTTGACTTATGGGGTGTCGCAGTAGCACCAGTATTGATTTCATCAAGCATTCTCCTGGGAAACAAACTACAACTCCATTCTTTCTGAGGACGGCAAGGCTAAACTCAAATACATCTGGCTCCTGGTCAGGGTCAAGGTCTCTCTATAACAACTTAATGAAGTTGGAAAGATCCTGCCCCTTAATCTTTATCTCAGTGTAAATCTCATTTCTGTGACAAGTGACACCAAAGGGGTTTCCAATGGAAATGTACAAGGATGTTGGAAAGATCTTGCTGTAACTGGCTATTTGTCATTCTACTGGTCCACAGAACAGATGGAAATGTTACCTACTAAAAAATAATAATAAAATATAAATACCTTTTTTGGTGAAAGAAAAGGCAAGAACTCACACTTCTCTTCAACAGCCAACTGCATCTGTATTCAATTAAAAAAAACTTCATGTAATAGCTATATTTATTTATTAGTGGCATGCAATGAATTCCATGTTATTACATTTAAAGCAGGGCTGAAGGAGACAGAGCATGAAACTCACAAGACTGGAGCTATGAAAGGATCTGTGTCAAGATAATGCACATGAACAACTTCGATTGACACTGACCGGTCCACTAGAAGGTTTTTAACTAATAGAAATTGTGAAATGCAGTACCATTTAAAACAAGTTACTCAGGATAATTCAAGATTAACAGATTGTCAAGTGCTTTTGGGCACACATAAATTTTTATAGGATTAAATTAAAGGACAATTCTCTTCAAAATCATATGAGATTTTACTGTCACGCCAGTAAAATATAGTTAATGCAGCATGACATACGTTCTCAATGAGCCGTTCATGGTGGCATCACTTTCTATAGAGCTATTGAACAGTTATATTCCAAAGGTCAGCAAAATGTAAGCTTTATTGTGGCTAAACCTAAAACATTGTAGCTTTGTTACCTTCAGAATGTTATAACGAACGATGGCATTGGTGCAAAGCATTAAAGCATCATTCATGTTTAAGATGTTACACGTGCTAGGGTAAGCTGTTTGGTAGTACAGTCTTTTCTACTGGTTTACCAGCAGATGAACATCTCCATATAAAAGCTTGGACAACTGTTCAGAGTCCATTTTGAGTTCATCTAAGCAACGTAGCTATTACTTATTGAAAATCCATCATTTAATTTTTCCCTCCCTCCCTCCCTTTGGAGACAAGGTCGGTCATGTACTCCTGTATAATAAACAAAGGGTCAGTCCTGTGTAGTGCGGTTAAGAGTACGCAGCGACTTCCCCCAAGCTTGTTGTTTTTTCATCACCTTTGAGCATCGCTTGCTAACCAATACTCTTGTCCGATCCAGCATGTGCTGTCTGTCATTCAGCTCGTAGTGCTGGGGAGATATGTGCAGTTGTTTTGTCACGCTATCGCCGGAAGTCACATGGGCTAACCAAACGCAAGGCAGTGTTCCCCCATTAACGCCATCACAAGTTGTTTGTATTTGATTAATAGCTCTGGTTCAATTGCAAGTCTCCACGGTTAACTTACTTTCACAAGGAACAACAGTATTAAAGGACAAATTTAACCAAAACATTGAAAATATAGGAGAAAGAAACGACCAGAGTGTCAGCTCACGTGCCCAGTGTATCTATTAACTATTTTACTGTTTTCCAAGAGCTGACAAAATTTTCAACATGTGTAGCATAGTAAAAAAAGAGAAAAACTGAAAATGTAACATAAAATGAAGAGAGCCAGGTAGGTTTTGATGTCACAAAAATGTTTACTTTGACCTTGCCTACTAGTATTTTGGCACTGCTAAGTAAAAAACCATTGCCATTTATCGATTCTAGAAACACTATACTATACAGTATTGTGCAAAAGTAACGCAAACAAATTTTGACGAAATTCCTGCTTTTCGGGGCTCTTTGAAGAAATTTCACTTAAAACAATATTTCCATCAAATTTCTCCGCATTTTTGTGACACCTATTGTTTTGATCTGCACAATTTTTTGAATGCTAATTCACTTTGCGTAATGATTCACCGTGAATTTTCGAGTGATAATTCGCTCCTCCCGAAAAGTCGCTGCAATTTTTCGAACGATTAAATGCGCTCCTCCTGAAAATTCGATCTATTGTTTATCAATAGGCCAAGGGCGTTTTCAAAACACAGTTTGCTAAGTGAAATATACAAATGACCTTTCCAATCATTGCATAGGAAAGAAACCATTAATCTGCCGAAATAGCATCACAGCTTGACGAAATGTTAGCTATGAAATTCACCTAGTTATTTCAGAAGGAATACTAAATTGCTGACTTGATCCAAAACCCCAAACCACCACAGTTCCGATAAATAAATGCAATTGTACTTAATCACTATGTTATACACTTACCAACACGCCAGAGCATGTAGAACCACGTAATTTTTCTCACGCCAGGCCCTTGTCTCCATGCCAGTTTGCTGCCATAGCGACCGTTCATGTTTATGTAACTTAAACCTGAAATCATTCACTCATTCACTTTACATTCAATATTTAAAGGACCTTGATGGTCAGTCATCATGCCTTAAGTTTCAAATTATACGAGAACTCGAATCAAGCTCCTTCACAAGCTCGAATATTCAGGTTATCGAAGAACAAAGGTTTACTAGTAAGCAGTAGTAGGCCACGCCAGCGTCTCTCGAATCATCAAGAAACTAAAAATTACTGGTTCCATGGTGAATCTACCGCGCTTGGGAAGACCAACAAAGTTGTCTGTGGATGCAAAAGCATTTATAGATCAACAGATGCGAAAAAATGATGAGACTATAAGCCAACAGATTCAGAAGATACTAGCAAAATGTGGGATTGCCGCGAGTTTGTCCACCGTATGAAGATCTCGCCAACAGCAAGGCTGGACTCTGCAGCAGACCGCTTATTGTCAGTTCATCCGAGACCTCGTAATATTAGAAGGTCACACATCAGTTCTCTAGTTTTTCTGTGATATATGTAATATTCTCGTTATGCCGCAATATTTGAATTTTCATATTAAATGTTAAAA